TCAACTCAATCTCGTCTTCGGTCCTCAGAGTCTCCACGCGTTTGCGTCGCGAAAGCCATAGCCGTCTGTCGGCCTCAGTCTTGCAGTCCTCGAGAAGTGCGGGCAACTGGACTATGGATTGTGGTTCGGGGTGTCTGAAGGTGATGGTGGAGCCGTCGGGGTATACCATCAACACCTTATAGAGACGACAGTATTTGGTGCGCGAGATCTTGCAGATGGACGACCGGTTGGCGCCGTAGTGGCGGACCAATGACTGGACGCCCGCTTGGGAACCGCTGCACGACATCATACGCGACAACCATTGCATTCTTCCGCATATCAACGACACGAGCATTACATTTACGGACACTCTTGAGTGTATGGTTAGTATGACTTACGTCTGGAGTCTATGTGTTAAGCAATTCATCGCTTAATCCATACATTCATCGGATCTTCAATTGAACGCTATTTTCAAAACAATTTATTAAATGCTTTGAAAATACATTTCATATAAATTACGGCTTTGTTTGCAATGTTTATAAATACTATATACTTATAATTAGAGACTTAAATATAAATATGTTTAGTTAATAATAAATATAAGATTAGTTTAAATTAAATGAATATAAATTTAAATAATTAGAAATGATTTTTATATCTAAATAATTGGCATTAAATACTGGATTAATATGACGTTATTTGGTTGCCATGCATTGCTATGAAAGCAAACTATTGTAGAAATAATGCATTGAATTGAATGAAACAAATGCACAATAAATTGCAAACAACTGGAAAGTGTGTGAAAGATATCACAAACACTTGAAAGCCTTCATTGAATGCAAGAATTGGTTTTGAGATAACAATCACTGAATCAGACGTTAATTGTCACCAAAAGCAGCCAAATGTTGACTCAAGCAGTGCTCAGACGTGTCTTAGCGTCCACACCACGGATGGCCGCCATCCGGATGTCGAGCACATCGTCGGCCACCACTCCATCCGAAGACTATTTCGCCAAAAACTCTCGACTCAATCGCCCTCTGAGTCCATACACTCACTACAAACCACAGATAACTACCGTCCTATCCATCAGTCACCGGATGACAGGTCTGGCCCTATCGGTGCTCCTCTATGGCGGGGGTATCAGTGCGTTGGCCTCATCGCAGACCAACTTCGCTCAAGTGTTGCAATCCATTCAGACAACGGTTCCGCACTCTCTCCTCTTCACTGTCAAAGTGTTGGCCGGTATTGAAGACATGATTCATTTGCTCTTTCATTGGACACCAATTGCTTAAAGATCTATGTTTTGATTGTCTCTTTAGGCACTTCTTTAGTCTATCACATCCTCAATGGTATCCGACATCTGAGTTGGGACTACGGCTTCGGCTTTTCTCTGAAAGAGCTGTACACCACTGGCTATATCGTAGTCGGTATGTCATGTTATTCCTCGATGTGTCCATAGTTTTGTCAATTGAATCATTTATTTTGTTAATAGCTCTGTCGTTGTTATCTGCACTCGTTATCGCAATATATGCCAATTAGTTAGACTTTGCATTCACTTCAACACACGCTTTGAAGCAAATAATATGGGATTTAATTTAATTAGAAATTAAGAAAAAATTAGACCAAAAGTATTACACTTATGTTAAACTCGATGTTATATAATGGTATAATATTGTTCATTAGTCTGTATTTTACTGTATATAAAGTCGAGTCAATAAAGAATTGGATATTTATTTCAAACTAATTTGTATTAATTTAATTTCTAAATGTTTAAGTATTTATGATATTACGGTAGTTTGTATTTGTAATCTAATAAAACTCTTTCAAACGTTTGTTTAATAAAAATAAGTTATTAAAAAACATTTCAAAAATTCTATATTTTATTAACAATTTCTAATGAACTAAACGTAAAGAATCAGAATAAATATAATGTAAGTAAATGTTGATATTTAGCAGGGTATGTGCAAACTAAATATCCGGTAATTAATACTTTAACCACACTATAAGTGATGTCAATGTAAACCATGGATCAGATGTCCGGTTGTCTTATTCTGCTTTCTTTATCCTTATTTCTGGTGAATTCAATCAATAAGTCCATCACTTCGTTGTGCATATGTTTGGGCACTTCTTTGCGACCGACTGACCAGTAATACAGTTCCCAATCATTTGACGGCATATTAATGATCGAGTCATACATTTCCAACTGTTTGTCACTGAATTGATTCAGATATTTGTGGGCAAATGTGCCCAAAATGAGATCATTCTCCAGAATGCCTTCAAAACAATCCACAAAATCAGTGTCTCGTCTCTTATTAGTGGTGCATATCATCAATAAATACCTCGTTTTCTGCTTTGATATAACAGTCTCTTCCTCTTCATATCAATCGATTCCTGTCTTTGCCGTAGAGATGAAGGAATCTCCAGATCATTGGACACCGGGTCGTAGATATCACTTTGGTTTTTAAATTTGGTTCATAGGTTATGCAACAATTGTGTGAATGAACTATTAATATCTTATATTAATCTAATATAAATAAAACCAATAAATTATACAAGTATAAAAATGTTAAATCTAAATTTATATGCAGAATATTTCAATAATTTACAGATCTTTACGTGAGTTTATTTTTAAAATTTTAATATTATACATCAATTGATGAGAAGTATGTGTCAAATATGAATCCTTGAAAATTATGCATTTATTACTAAATTTTTAAAAATTATCTTAGAAATTTTGCTAACACTACTGTAATAGTCTAAATAATATTATGCAAATATTTGTTACTTTAAAAATCGTCGGAACTTTCCTTATGTTTGTTTTAATAGATTAATATTTTTAATTTTAATTAAAATAATTAAGAACCAAACCTTAAAACTGATGACCAGTAGTAAAATGCTAATTATATTGTAAAGTGTGTGATAGGCATCGCTTAATATTATTAATGAATGGGTGAGCTGACTGGCCACTAGCTCGGCACCCAGTAGTATGCCCTCCACTCCAATCAATGTATATAAATATAAAAGTTTCATTTGTACCGTCAATTAAATTAAATTACTAATTATAAAACACTAATAAAATGCACTAAAATCCAAAATCATGTTTTAAACATCGGAAAGACACCAGATATCATATGCCGTTTACACCAAAATGATTATCAGTGAATTTACTTTATGATAACATTAGCACACATTCACTCGACACTTATCCATACGATTCCAGCTCTCATTGATTGAATGCTAAATATACTTCTCATTCGTTCATTCAATCACTAAGTTTTAGATTAAATTTACATTTTTGTCGATAATTTCCATTTCGCATAAAAATAATTAAAACTTTAAACCGTGTCTACGCTTAAGGTCTTATAACTTGTACGATATAAAACCATTTAATAGTAAATTTCCTTTTTTTTAAAAAGGTTTTAGTGATACATAAGAAGGCATAGCAATTAAAATATAAATTCATTTGTTTTAAAAATAATATTATTTGTATTCATGTGATTGAAGAAAACATTGAACACTGAATTTTTTTTAACACATGGTATTAATAGAACTCTGAATGACAACTAAAGCAAAACAATTAATAAAATTCAATTTAAAAATACATTTGTTATTAACGAAAAAATTTACACACATTTCCTCAATTGATAACTTATCTCAATGACATAAACACGGTTTTAAACTTACCAAACATCTTTTTGTATTATTAAATTATTATTTTGTAAATTATTATTATCAAATTACTAATTATTATAAAAACCTGTTTGTTATTTTAGAATTTTATTCACAAATAGATAAATAAAAATGAAATTAATGTAAGAAATGGTATATAATTTTGTGCATCAACTTTGGGTTTGTGTTATGAATTATAGCATTAAATTGTATAACATTTGAAGGAAAATCATTGGCCCAAATCCAACGCAAACGTTAAATCCAAGCGTTGTTTCGCTAATAATTTATCCCTAATTTATAAGATTAGCGCAAATTCATAATTAATGTGAAAAGTATGCGAGGATCCTTATAATTTACTACTTTATCATACAAGTGGTGAGTGTTAGCCCTGAGCACTGGCAGATTTTTGTTCATTTTATGACTTTACTGTGCAAATATGTAATTGATATTCAATTACAAATTGTTAGCATATTTTAAATATTGTTTTTGGTGATTTATAAAATGACATGCCTATGAATTGTCATAAATTATATACATTTATTAACAATGACAATAACCATAACCCTAATAACCAGGATAACATTGGAGCTGACAGTTTGGGAGTTAATCCCTACTTTATTGTATGAGTAATTTTCAATTATAATCATTAATCCAAAGGCATTCACACATAAATCAAACTAAAAGTAAAAATAAAAGCAAAATAAATATAATAATTGTGTGACTGAATGAATACAATGTGTTAAA